GGTTTGAATCCTGTTGCTTTTTTAAACGCTCTGCTGTGCAAGTTCCTCCTTTCTAAAGAAAAGGCCCCTTCTTTGAAACATTGTGTCCTTTGGCTCTATCGTTTAACAATTTCAATGTATGAATATTTGTCTTCGAAAGGCTTTATATATTTGTCTAGCGTAGCAAGTCTCTCGTGGCATAACAATGTAAAATGATTGGGAATTGCTATGAACTAAATGGTGAGCTGCTAAACATCTCGACAATAGTACCACAGTTTGCTCCTGCAGCGACACGCCACTACATTACCATACACAAATGATTAAAATAAAGTTTGACTAGCTTTTTGTGTAACTACTAGATACTCTATTGTAAGACAGAGGTTCAGTGGACAGGCAACAGTGTCGTTTTTAGATAATTTTTCAATTATTTCAACAAATCGTTGTCCTCTGCAAGCTTTGCTAGTGTTTAAGGAGTGATCCTACAGTGTAACGAGCCATCATATGTGCCCATGTGTAGATTTTTCGGGACATGCCCATGAAAAACAGTGATGTGAAAAATTATGGGCTTCCCCATACGGTCACTGTCGTCCGCTATGCTCCAATCAGTGATATTGATAAGTGTTTTAGAGCATACTAGTATCTATGATCGCGTGATAAATGTATACTATCGAAACCGCCAATACTTTTTGGACAAAGTTAACAGACTTTTTCAGCAAATAAAGTATGTCCCATTGTGAGAAAATGTATTATCATCATGGTGATCTGTTATTTTGACCAGGATTATACGTATTTTCCATGGCGATGGTTTTTGTAAATCAAGTGATATTTCAAAGTTAATTTTAAGATAAAAACTTTAAGAGACTTTGAAATGTTACTTGAAAATATATTAAATTAACGTTATAAACACTCATTAAAAATAAATTGGAACACGATAGTAGTATTCCTTTATCATCATATTCTGGGATGAAAATAAGAGTAGTTTAAAAATATAGATGTTGAAATAAGTTCTGGGTGAAATACACTTAAAAAATTACTAAGTAACGGATATTATACAAGATGTAATAAATGGTTATAATTTATTCATCAAATATTAAATAAATACAGTTTGTGGGCCTGTTTCACCTTGTGTTTGCCGATCCTATTCAAAGCGTTAATGCTCCCAAGTGATACTTGTCGCTTCAAGGGATAGGTCGATTCATTTGTTGAACCACCATAAAAAAAGCATTCCTGAATGGGCTGTTGCACTTTAGTGTGTGGAAAACATGTACTACTTTTCAGTTTCACTATCTGTTCTGACAACATTTTGGCTTTAGGGATATTTCACGTAAGCTTAGAAACACAAAAGCATATCTTAATATAGCTATGGCCGCTGCTGAAGAAATAAAAAAAAATCTGTAATAAATGGAGACATGATATGAAACTCGTCAAAAACTAATAGCATTGTACATGATCATGGGTAGAAGAATTAAAGCCAAATGTCACATCGATATTTGTAAAGATACATACATTGCTCTGAAATCTTCAAAGACGTTACGTTCTTTCCACTTTAGTGTATAATAGAAATATAAACTAACACGATGTTCTCTTTTCTCGGCACTTCTCCAGCACAACTGATTGGGTAAAAAGTTACTCAATTTTAGGCATGTTATTACTTTTTTCGATTCAAACTTATGATTTATTTTAGGGTTTGAGGAACTATAATCACAGAATCAAAGTTCTTGAAACAACCCACTATTTTCGAAATTCGCATTTATTTTGTATTTCAAAATATCGACGATTTTCTCAAGTCCTTCTTTAAAAGTAATTAATGTTTTTTTCGCCTTAGCCAACATATACCGACAGTAGAATGTTACTCAGAATTTTTCTAACTCGTCTGTCTTGGTATGTAACTCTTTCTTTAATATTCTCTCTACAATTTCTTTACCAGAAACTACAATGATCTCCAATAAATTACCGGAGAATCAGAATATTACATTTTAAAATACCTGGAAGGTCGATATATAACGATGGCAAGATTTAAGACTAAAATTAGTTTAATTTGTGTATTTTTTCATGCTGAGGTGACAAATACTAGAATGAATCTGCAGAAAGAGTACATGTATAACGTTGTATATATATATATATAAACACATATCTTCACACACACCCATATAACTTGCAGACGCATCTCGTAAGACGGTAAGGAATTGATATCTTATAAAGGACACCTTTCCCGCGCCTTTTGCCTTTTTCTTTTTGGGGGGGGGTAGGGGATCTTCATATTCTACCTTTTACTTGTCATCTACTTTTGTCTGTACTATGCATCTCTGCATGTTAATAGGTTATAGTCATTGAATTAGTACCCATAATATGAAACACAGTTTTGTTGGATTGCATTTTTGTACGTTCTATGAAGGTTTCCTATCTTTTACATCACAACTAATTAAATCAAATACCCTGTAGTCAGCACCTATATTGACACTTTCACCCGAGAAAACAAATACTATTTATATATATTTTATTTCTCTTTAACATAACTCTAAGAATATGTTACAGCTATTTTTTTTTATTAAACAGGAAATACACCTCTAAAGACAAATATAAATGCAAAAGAAGCATTTAGTTAAGTTTTAACCTCAAGCTTTAAGAACTAGCTGTTCTCATAGTTCTGCGAAACGTTTCAGTGATTGGCTAGTTAGGGTTTTTAGAACGATTTGGCTACTCACTGAAAATCGTAGTTAAAGATAACTAGGCAACATTGTCTGAAAGACCTGGTAGCGAGGTGGTTTAACTTCGTTGAAGATATAGTTAAGCTGCTTAGTGCAAACACATCGAAACTTCCATATAAAAAAAAATATTCAATCAATACTAGAGAGAAAAACATATGATAAACTACAAGCAATTACTTAAATAAGTTTGAGATTGCATCAAATGGTTAAATAGCATATATAAGTTATATTATTTCAAACGCGTACGTTTAATAAGCTTAATTTACATAATACTAGCAAAACTTAAACGATCGTTTTGATCTTTGAAATAACTTCGTAATATTTTAGAATACAGAATTGATATTATAAAAAAACAGCATTAAAACAGTGGCGTTGTGCTGATAAATTGTAGTTTTTTCTTCTAATTTTCGCCCCTCCCGCGGTGGCTCAGTGGTAAGATTTAGTGCTCATAATGCTAAAAGTCGAAGACTGGTCCTTGCGGTGAGCGCAGATAAACCATAGTGAAGCTTCTGACTTAACAACAGCAATAAAATTTATATAAATTTTCGAATGTCACGTGTTTCAAGAGCGAATTTTAATTTTGCTTGAATTTGTTCTTTTTTTTTTCATACGCATATTGTTTGAATTTGACTTGTATTACGATAATATGAGTTACCGTATTTCTAGTTTCATTTGGATTAATACTGAGATTTTCAACGTGAATGACACATTAATTGTGTAACACAGTGCCGAATTTTGAATACAAGGGCTCTGTTTCAATTTGAACCGAATAATGAGATTGACTGTAATTTTCATAATGCACCCATAGCTGAAAGTACAAGCGTATTCAACAGCATTGTTGCTCGAACATTTGACCTTCTGATACACAACTCGGCACACTAACTATTAGGCCACACTTGATTCCAATCTTAGAAACTCTGTTTAAATTAGGTACCAAATTTTAGTTTTCTTGTCCACATTCTTATTGGAGTCGAACAAAAACTTGAGAAAATAGTGTCTTTCAATTTAGTGAAAGTGAGTAAATTACAGAAGTATTTTACTTGTGATGTAAACTGTTTTAAGTAACTTATAGGATAGGTTTTAGTTTTTTTATTATGTTTGAACTGAAAAGCAAAAGTAAATTCTTGTTTTGCATTTCGCGATCGTTTACACTGTGTGTATTTTCGTCTAAAATAATTTACTCCAGAAATCGATTGATTGATTGGTATTAGATGTTAAGGAAATGTGTTTGCTTTGAAGCTTTTATAGTAGATTTACTGACTATTAAGTTTCAAAAAGAAAGAACAACAATTGAGCAATGTTCCTTTAGTCGTTTAATTTCTCTTATAATACAATTTTTTTGAAAGTTTGTTTGTTTTGAATTTTTGCACAAAGCTACCCAGGAGTATATCTGTGCATAGCTGTCCCTCATTTTGAAATACTAGATTAAAGAAAAACAGTCAGTTAACAGCATCTACCGCCAGCTCTTGGGTTATCCTTCTCTGATCGAATAGTGGGATTTGACTGTCACTCTTATAGTATACTCACGGTCCTAAAGTACGCAAAGTGTTTTTGGGGCAATGGGACGCGAACCTTTAACTTACTAGTCTAGGCAGACTGAGTAGTAGCCATGCCTGGCGTATGAGCAGAAAGATAAGATCTGAGAATCACGTACGTACATATAAGTTTGCAGAGAGATATATTTCATGTTACCAAAAGCTAGATCCATTGACTGCTGATATGAAAAGTTTGAGTTTGGCCTAGTTAATAGCATAATGCCAAATCAACTATTCTGTTTTCGTGAATGGTTTCTATACAGATTTGGTAAATGATCTAAAGTCTTTCTGACATGAAAGGTTTGTAATCCAATCAGGTCAGTGCCTATCTCTCCTCTAGCATGAAAAGCTGGTAATTGGTACGGAGCCACGTGAAATTTCTGTTTTTGATTGAATAGTTTATATATATAGATCTGGTCAATGTCCACTTCTCTTTTTGCATGACAGGTTGCTGGCAAATCTGTTCGGTGTCCATTTCTTGCATGAAAGATTTTTGGATATGTCTAGTCAGATGTATAAAGCTGTCTGAAAGGCTTCTATATAGCCCTATCTATTTTTATTCTGTTATGAAATATTTGTAGTTAAATTTGTTTATTGGTACGGGGCTGCATTCGCTTTTCTTCTTCTATGAAAGATCTGAAGGTTGGTGAAAGTAATGGTTTCGAGCCGTTTCTGTTTCCTTTTAATATTGAAATATTCGTAGGTAAATATGCTAAGCATTACACTTTTTCTCCATGAATGACAAAAAGTAATCAACTGTACATTTTTATTTACTCACCTCCATCGTCTGAAAATGGTTCATGCCTTTGATGGCGTTGATTGCAAACTGGCGAGTCGCGTAAGTAACAAATCCACAACCTAGAAGGAGGGAAAACGGATTATGCTGAAAACATTTAAATGAATACTGTTTTCATGGCACTATTTAAAACTATGTTTATTAAGTAAAGTGTTTGAGAATAGGGTAAAATTATAACCAAAATTGCCTTTTTTAAGTAAAGTGTTTGAGAGTAGGGTAGAATTGTAACTAAAATTGTTTGTCTAGTAAAGTGTCTGAGAGTAGAATAGAATTATAACTAAAATTGTTTGGTAAATAAAGTGTCTGAGAGTAAGGTAGAATTGTAAATAAAATTGTTTGTCAAGTAAAGTGTTTGAGAGTAGGGTAGAATTGTAACTAAAATTGTTTGGTAAATAAAGTGTCGAGAGTAGGGTAGAATTGTAATTAAAATTGTTTGTTAAGTAAAGTGTTTGAGAGTAGGGTAGAATTGTAACTAAAATTGTTTGGTAAATAAAGTGTCGAGAGTAGGGTAGAATTGTAATTAAAATTGTTTGTTAAGTAAAGTGTTTGAGAGTAGGG